TTATTGTTTTCCCTTTAAATGTCTTCCAATTCTGATTCAATTAGAATCATATACTCAGTGTAGATAACGTGTATATTTGTAATTGATGAGAAACCAAAACAAGAAAGAAAAATGACTAGAAAAAACACTCCATTATGTTAATAACAATCTTATCCCTGGATAGTAAGTTTAAGTTGATTTTCTTCTTTTTTGTATTTTTCCGTATTTTCTAAACTTTTTTCAGTACACATATTTTATAATCAGGAAAGCTGATTTGTACTAAAACAAAAAAATCATCAAGTCCTTCTTTCTGGACTACATTTTAATAATTTTCTTGGCATAATCGTCTCTCAGATATGCTTCACAATCAAGGAGATTCCTGTTTATATGATACAGGTAGAGTATCTACAGCACATTGAGAGGAAACCATGTCTTTTCATGTCACTCACTGAATTCCTTCCAATTTATTCTGCACAGCCTAGCAACATAATGACTTACATAGATCTACAGTCCCTGCTTACCTCCCCCTTTTCCCCCCACCAAGCATTATAAATTGTGCAATGATCACTTTTTTATGCTTCCTTCTTGTTGGAGGCCCATAAAGTTTCCAAGAAAGCAAGGTGCTAGAGGTAAATCACCATCAACAGAATGGATCGTAGCAAAAAGCACCCTACAAAATTCGGACTCCACCTAACTGTTTTGAAATGGCTAGGGATGCTGGAGTGGGTGGGGTGGGTTAGGATACAGACAGTAATTGAAAGGGGAGGAGAGAATTAGGCAAGAAATACCTTTCAGGCAAAACGGCTGGGGAGAAAATTCAGAGACGCGTTGTTCTTACAGCACTAATCGTATATGTTTGGTTGTCTAATATTCTTGGATTTGATAAGAACCAACACATAGTCCTTGTTGTCATTGACAGAACCCCAGTTTGTATGTACATTATTCATATTCCTCGTTGTGTTTCGGGGGAAAAAGACATTTTAGCCTTTTTTAAAAGTTACTGATTTAATTTCATGTTATTTGGTTGCATGAAGTTGCCCATAACCACTAAGGATTATCAAGATTTTTGTGCAGACTTATACATGTCTAAGATCCTTTTATCAAGGCAGTTATGATCATCATTTTCCTGCCTTTACCCCACCATCACCAAACACTCAGTTAAATATAGATTAACATTTTTACATAACCACTCAACATAACGCTTAAGAATGGAATTTCCTCTCTGTGACAGAACCCAGGAACTAAATCCTAAATACATAATGTTGGTATATTGAAGATGAAATTAAAATTGTCCTTCAGTTTTGAGGCCATGTGTGAAGTTTAACCATATTGTAAAATATCTGTTCTGTATTAGAAATAGCTAGTTGACAGCTTATGCTTCTCAAAATTCATATTGTTATGTACACAAACTAAGTTTCTATATGTGAAGTTAGTGAGTCTTTTTGTGTTACTCCAAAATAAAGGCAATGATTTATTTTTTCCCAGTGCCAATACAATTTTGAGCTAAGCACTCAAGGGGGGTACTTTACATTTTAAAGCTAGAAACAGCAACAGCTGTATGGGAAACCAGACAAAGCATTGACTTTTAAATGTAGACTTTTAAAATAAACTGTTTTCTTTTGAAACTACAATTAGAATAGTTAATATTCATCCACAAACCATTATTATGTGTACATTATTGTTGCTATTGTGAAATAGAGAATTTTATTTATTTTTATGCCAGCTTATATTGTGAGAACACATTTAGTCAGTTTGATTTTTATCAATCTTGTTAATGCTTGTCCTTGGAACATCTTTCGCGTGTTCAAGGTTTGTAGCTGAAAAGTTTACTGTAAAAAAAATCAAAAACAAAAAAATGTTTTTACAGAATAAATTTATTGGAATGTGAAAAAAATAAACATAATCACATTAATACAAAGATCGATAAAAACAATTAATGTATCTGAGGTACTGACAGTGTGCTTGATGCTGCCAGCAGAAATAAGTCCTCTTATATTAAGTTGTGATCTGCATTCTGCCTAAACTATAAGAAAGGTTCTCAGCAGGCTGGGTGCAGTGGCTCACGCCTGTAACCCCAGCATTTTGGGAGGCTGAGGTGGGCGTATCACCAACATAGTGAAAACCCGTCTCTACTATTAAAAAAAAAAATGCAAAAATTAGCCAAACGTGGTGGTGGGCACTTGTAATATCAGCTACTGGGGAGCGGGGATGGGGAGGAAAAAGGGAGTGGAGGGGAGAGGGAGGAGGAAGAGGAGGGAGAGGTGCTAGTAAGGACTGTTAATAGTCTTTGTGTTCTGTTGTGTTCTAATGCTTTAACTCAGAGCCCATAGCTGTGTGGACCCAAAGACCAGAGTAAGAGAATGGAGAGTCCTAGGAGAAAGGTGACAGAAGGGGTAGAAGGTACCTTTGAGATGTCAAGCAATGAATAGTATATACAGGAATTTAGAAGAATGAATCTGAGACCTTCATGCATCGTATTCTCATTGAGTAGTACTTGGAATAATCTTTGAAAAACAAAAGGCTGGATAGCTGCTTGGGGCCCTTGGGGAGAGAGAGTGTTTTCACTGCAGATGAAGCTGGCAGGCCCATTCCCTTGGGGGAATTAAAAGTTCTGTACCCAGGGTGGACCCCAGGCCTTGCAGTCCTGAATTGTGCCTCAGAAGGAGGACAAAAGAAAGTGGAAGCTGGCCGGGCGCGGTGGCTCAAGCCTGTAATCCCAGCACTTTGGGAGGCCGAGGCAGGTGGATCACAAGGTCGAGAGATCGAGACCAACCTGGTCAACATGGTGAAACCCCGTCTCTACTAAAAATACAAAAAATTAGCTGGGCATGGTGGCGCGTGCCTGTAATCCCAGCTACTCAGGAGGCTGAGGCAGGAGAATTGCCTGAACCCAGGAGGCGGAGGTTGCGGTGAGCCGAGATCATGCCATTGCACTCCAGCCTGGGTAACTAGAGTGATACTCCGTCTCAGAAAAAAGGAAAAAAAAAAAAAAAAGTGGAAGCTAATATAGTAATTGGCTGGGAGTAAAATAGGTCTTTGAGACTGTTGGGGGAGATTGCTGGAGATTAAAAGAGAAGGAAAATTAGGGTGATTAAATAGGAAAAGAAAATGTAGGTGGGTCATTCATAGAGGGAGTTCAGAGTCCTTTTCACCTTCTTGCTGAAAACGGATCGTCCTCCAGATCCATTTTGCCACAGGAACATGCCTAAGGATCCAAGCACAGAGCTGAAAGTATTTGATAAATCAATAAAGAATTTGGCTTCTGCCTGAATGACCAAACACAGGAGAAAAAATAGTGCAACATATAGAATAAAATAAATTTATGTTTCCTTTGTAAAGGTCTTTTGGTTCAGATTAATTACAGTCATATACTCAGTGTAAAGTATGTATTTTTACTGACAAGAAACAATAAAAAACAAAGCAGGGCTAGGCGCAGTGGCTCAGGCCTGTAATTTTAGCACTCTGGGAGGCGGAGGTGGGCAGCTCACTTGAGGACAGGTGTTGGAGATCATCCTGGCCAACATGGCGGAAACCCCATCTCTACTAAAAAATACAAAAATTAGCCGGGCATGGTGGGGGGCCCCTGTAATCCCAGCTACTTGGGAGGCTGAAACTAGAGAATCTCTTGAACCCAGGAAGCAGGCATTGCAGTGAGCCGAGATTGCGCCACAAGGTTAAGAGATCAAGACCATCCTGGCCAACATGGTGAAACACCTTTAAAAAATACAAAAATTAGCTGGGCGTGGTGGCACGCGCTTGTAGTCCCAGCTACTCGGGAAGCTGAGGCAGAAGAATTGCTTGAACCTGGGAGGTGAAGGTTGCAGTGAGCCGGGATACACACACCCCAGAGGCCCTGAAAGGTTAAATGACTTTTCCAAAGTCACAGTGACTTCCTGACTCCCAGTGCAGCTATCCTGCCACACAGGGAAGGCAGCACCCCCATTCACCCTGCTACTAGCCTGCCTGTCTTATTTCTAGGACAGCTTCCTCACCACCTTGGCACAAACTCCCAGTTCACTTTAAACAAATGGCTTAGCCCTGCTGGGTCTTGGTTTTCTCAGCTGCAATGAAGATATGACATGGATGATCGTTCACAATCTATATTTCATTCCTAAAGAATAAGAAGAGAACCCAATTTGCCACCAACTCAGCATTTGCTTTCTCACTACCCTGGAAAAGTAGCTTTTAAAACGTAGCCCCTGACCAGCAGCATCAGCATCACCTGGGAACCTATTAGAAATGCAAATTCCCAGGTGCGCCTAATGAATCAGAAACGCTGGAGGTGGGGCCTAGCGAAGGGATTTAACAAGCCTTCCAGGGAGTCCTGCTACAGCTCAAGTTTGACAACCACTGCTTTAAATGTTTTCTGACCGCGCACGCGTACACTTACACGTAGGTACCCAACTTTTCCGTAGCCACTACCACTCGCCACCAATGACCCCAGCCCCAGCCCCAGCTCTCCCTCCCCATTCCTCGCGGCTCCATCCTGGGATGATAAATCGAGGTCAGGGCGCTGTCAATGGAGGACGCGGCAAACCCTCCCCAAACGACCGAGGGGGTCGGGGGAAGCAGCGTTAAGGCTTCCTGAGACTGGTTTCTTTATCGTTTTCTCCACGGCCGCTGCCCCATTTTCTAATGAGTTTGCTTTTAATGATTTATCCAACAGTTTGTTTGCAAAAGACCATTGAGAGGTGGGTGTCAGGAAAGTCTTGGGAGAAGAGACTGGGTGAAAGGAGGGAAGGGGTGTACATGGAAGAGCAAAGGTGCGAAGTGAAGCTAAAGAGAAAGTGGGAGCCTCAGGGGAGCCCCGGGTTCGGGAAAACGGCAGAAGATGGTGCTTTTGGTATGGGAAAGAAAAGTTGGAGGAGAGCGTGGGTCTGAGGCGCAGCAAAAAGTGGGTGCTAATGGGAAAACTGCCGTAGAGTTTGGGGGACTTTTTTTTTTCCAGCTTCCTTTCCAAGACTTTTTCTTTGCTCCATTTTGCTCCTCCTCCTCCTCCCCGACTCCTCCACTCCCCCCCCGCCTCCTCGCGCGGTAATGGGAGGCTCCTAGGCAGGAGAAGCAAAAGGAGGAATTGTTTGCGAGTTCAGTCATCCAAAAAAGCTTCTTCCATATGGAGGGACCGGGTGCGCTGGGCGCGGCGTCCCCTGCCTCGTTCCCCTGCTGCCGCGGCCGCCGCTTCCTGCAGCGGGGACCCTGAGCCCCGGCCCGCCGGTGTCAGCCGCCGCGCGCGCACACACACACTCACACACGCACCTAGAGACACACGCACACACACGGCGCGCACACGCACGCGCCCTCCCTCTCCGGTCGGCGACTTCTCCGGCCGGGGCTCCTTTGTTGCTCCCGCCGCGGCCGCTCGCCCGTGTTGTGTGTCTGCGGTGTCACCGCGCGTGTTGTGTGTCCGTGCGGCGCGGCGCTGTGTGGCTCTCTCCGCGCCCACCACGCTGGCCCCCGGGCCCCGGCTCGCCCTCTCCAGGCGCCGGCTGCACCAGAGGTGAGTCACGTCGCTGAAGTTTGTTTTCTTTTCATAAAAAGTTGTGTTTATTGTTGGTTCGGGGAGCAGAGGGGGCAGGAGGCGGCCGCAGGCCGAGGCAGCGCCAGGCGAGGGTCTGCCGGGGGACGTGCGGGCGGTGGGAGCCGGGTCCGAGCGCTCGGCTGGGCGCCCGGGGCTGGGAGCTGCGGCCGTGGCTGGGCGCGCGGGGCGAGGAGGGCGGCGGGGGTCCCGGGGGCTGCCGCCGCTGCGAGGCGCACATCTCGTTCCCTGCCGGGCGGTCTGGCCAAGCGGTGGTGGTTTCGCCCCCGCGGTTGCCGGAAGCTTCTTGGGTGGAAGAAGGGCCGGGCCAGTCTCCCAAACTTCCCCGAAGACTGACACCAGCGCCCCGGCCTCAGGCGCCAGGCCGTGGGGGGAACCCGAGGGGTGGCGGCAAGTGCGTGGAGTCACTCGACACACACTCAACCTCTTCGCGGGGTGAGGGTTTCTCATAGTTGGCGTCTTCTAAAGGAGAAAAAACACTGAAATGAGGGACTCAGCGGACCAGGCGCGATGCAGCCTGAGGGAAGCATCCCTAGCTGCGGGCGCAGAGGGGCGAGGCCAAAGCCGAGTGACCCGAGCTGTCTGCGGGGCTGGGGCAACGGTGAGAGAGGGGTGTGTGTGTGTGAGTGTGTTCCCGCCCGCAGCGTCCTCCTGGGGTTGTGCTCTTGGGTTTTTTATTGGTGTAACTGTGAGAAGGTGTGGGAAATGAATCTCTGGGTGAAAAGGGGCTGTGGGGAGGACGGAGAACCCAGTAAGAATTTTCTGCGGGGGTTTGGAAGGGCCTGATTGATTTTCAGGATGCTCAATGTGAATTTGCTTTTCCAGGTGATGGGAGAATGTTGAGGGGTGGGAGGCAGGCAGACCTGAAGGAGTTAATGGAGCCTTGGGGATTTGTTTTGCTGAGTTTTGTTTTGGGGATGCGGGTGGCAGTGGCAGAGTTGCCTGAAACAGGGTTGTGCTCCTCCAGAGATGTGGCAGTAGAGCTAAGAATACCCAAACCACACACCAGCAATCCCAAACAGGCACTTTCTGGGTGTGGTGGGGTGTTCTGCTGCTCCCCTCATCACTTCTCTGCAAGTTCAAATGGGTTCGCATAAGTTTTTGACCCAGAGTTAACCCCTTGGGTGGACTGAGTGAAGATTATATTTTGGTTTCAGGCCTTTGTGCCACCTCCAGATGCACTGTGCCCAGCACACGTTTGTCACCTAGTTCTTTGTTGCCCAGAACTCTACACACATTGACCATTGGATGAATGTCATTTTAAAGCTGCTTCAGTGTGCAAACATTTCTGATTTATTCCACGACTGGGTTCTAAACAGGCAGCCCAGCTCTGGGATGGTTTTTCATCCCTTTGGTTACAGCCAATAAATCAATCTTCGTTTTCTCAAGGGCAACATGGAAAATATTAAACCACAGTCTTGTTGGGTTGGGTGTGGGGGCTAGCATGCCCATACATCTGGGTGACCTGTTTGCTGGACTTAAAGTAAATCTGAGGCCAGAGGTTAGCCATTCTGAGGTGTGTAACAGGTTTCCCAGAAACATTTCTGAGGTCTTTTAATTGGTACTTTTTAATGGTCTCATAATTGAGACTCAGAAGCTTCTCGTGGTAATCTTGAAGCAGCGTGGGGTCAGTGGGACAGAGGCCGGGTAGAAACAGCATTAGAGTTGTTATTTTCCTGCTATATGAGTTTTTCAAATGAGTTTATGCAAAGAGGTAAAAATGAAAGAAGGAAGAGTTGCCTTACTGGGCCACTTTGCTGACACTCCCCTCCCCTGTATAGATTTGTCACTTAGAATTTGGCCCTGGGGGAGGCTGGAGGCTGTCTACACACCTATGAAGCCTGAGGATTGAGACCTCAGATACAGTCCCTTTTATCCTCTATCGAGATACTTCAGAAAGGCAACATTGCAAGAGATGTTCCCGTAGGGAGAAACTGTCTCCCATGCTATAGACCAGGCGTCCCCAGACTTTTTACACAGGGGGCCAGTTCACTGTCCCTCAGACTGTTGGAGGGCCTCCACATACTGTGCTCCTCTCACTGACCACCAATGAAAGAGGTGCCCCTTCCTGAAGTACGGCGGGCGGGGGGGGGGGCGGTTAAATGGTCTCAGGGGGCCGCATGCGGCCCGCGGGCAGTAGTTTGGGGATGCCTGCTGTAGACCATTGGCCTTACTTGGAAAAAGAGCTTGCTAGAAGCCAGGATGATTGGTTCTTTAACTACACCTGGAGAGGAGGACCCTGCTTAGCTGTTAAGTGGAAGAAAGAGGACCTTGCTTAGCTATTAATTGGAAGAGAGAGGACCCTGCTTAGCTGTAATTGGTCAGCCAACCTGTGATAAGGAGTGTAATTTATGTTCCTTTCCACTCTCCAAATGGGTCCAGAGATTTTCCTTTCTTTGAAGTGCTTTTTCAAGTGTTTGGAATCCCAGCTCTCTTCAACAGCATGGTTTCCATACCCTAAGAATGAATAAGAGATTTTACTCATGAAGTAATTCAGTTGACTTCCACATGGTCCCGCAGGGTTTTTTAAAAGGAGGGCAAGAAGTGAGCCTGATGTGTCATAGTGTTCCATGTGCCCTAGGGGGTCTGGGTTCAAATATCCGCAAAGCCACTAATGTGGCTAATGAATTAGGGTTTGTCACTGTGCCTTTTAAACTACAACAGAAAACTCAGGTGCACCAAATAATTGCTATCCAATACCTTGTGGCCTCTGAATAAGAAAATACTAGGCACCAAAAGATACTATATGTTTCGAATTTGCTTTCTTTCCTCCAAACTTTAAGCCCTCTTGCTATCTGGGAAAACATGGGAGAGGGGAAAAGAATCAAAATTTGGCTGGGAGAGGAAATAAAACAATATGTTCCATTTAGAAAAATCTATTTACTTTAACATATGTAACTTCTTGTCATCTTCATACTTCAATTCGGCAAACATTCATAGTGCATCAGACACCAGGCTGAAAACTTCCTTGTCCCAGGAGAGTAAGCTTTCTTAGTCAAAGGATGGTTCCTCCTCAGTTTTTCTTTTTATTTATTTTATTATTTTATTTTTTATTGTACTTTAGGTTCAGGGGTACCTGTGCAGATCATGCAGGGTTGTTGCACAGGAACTCACATGGCAAAGTGGTTTGCTGCCTCCATTGCCCCATCACCTATATCTGGCATTTCGCCCCATGTTATTCCTCCTCAACCTCCCCACCCCCTGTTGTCCCTACCCTAGCCCCCCACCAAGAGACCCCAGTGTGTGATACATCCCTCCCTGTGTCCAGGTGTTCTCATTGTTCAGTACCTGCCTATGAGTATGAACACGCAGTGTTTGATTTTCTGTTCTTGTGTCAGTTTGCTGAGAATGATGGTTTCCAGATTCATCCATGTCCTTACAAGGGACATGAACTCATCGTTTTTGACTGCATAGTATTCCATGGTGTATATGTGCCACATTTTCCCTGTCCAGTCTATCACTGATGGGCATTTGGGTTGGTTCCAGGTCTTTGCTATTGTAAACAGTGTCGCAACCTCCTCAGTTTTTATTTATTTACAAGCATCTACTTCTAATTAAGAAAATGTTTTTAAAATTATCCACAATCCTATGCTGCAGTGTGACTTGTGTTGTTTATCATGTGCATACATACTTTTGACATAGTTGTGATAAGAGTATAAACTTTTGTCATCACACAGCCCTGATGTAGCTCTACATTTTTAACCAAAGACTCACAGAGAACAGATATAGCCAACTACTCTGCTATTGGTTGGAAAGACCCAAATCCTAAGTGTGCTCCCGCATGGAGCCTTAACATGTAACATTTTCATAATTTATGAGGTTGACTCAAATATTCGGGATTGGGGATGGGATGGGAGAGGGTGATTGTTTTTAATCTATAAATCTGTGTTTATGAAAAGCTTGCCTAAAGAAGGTTTTGCCTCGTTGGGGCCCTCAGGGTTGGTAATGGATAGAGAAGAGGAGGTGGAATGCAGGAAAGAAGGTTTAGAGGATCCATCTCAAATGGCACTGCCTTTTAGGAGGGTTAGGAAACGGGGGTTGGAATCTAAGCTCTGCCTGTGGACTCCACTTACACTGACTCAAACCACTGAACTAATCATCTGTTCCTACATCTCTGCTGCCAGAGTTGGACACCTTCCCCAAGTTTGCCTGCTCTTTTCCTGCCCATCCTTTTATTATTCCACCATCTTTTTCGTTCCTTCCACCACCATGCTTATTGATGCCCTTGACAATTGTTGCTGGCACATGGCTGGGCCCTCTAGTGCCAGTCTGTGACCATCCCACCCATTCTCTGAGTCTTATAATCAGATTACACCCAGCTTAAAAACAACCTAGGTTTAAAATCCAAATTTCTTTCTTTATTATTATTATTTTTTTTTAATTGGAAACAGAATGTCACTCTGTCACCCAGGCTGGAATACAGTGGCACGATCTCGGCTCCCTTCTACTTCCACCTCCCAGATTCAAGTGATTCTCTTGCCTTAACCTCCCACGTAGCTGGGACTGCAGGCGCATGCCACCACATCTGGCTGATTTTTTTATTTTTAGTAGAGATGGGGTTTTACCATATTGGTCAGGCTGGTCTTGAACTCCTGACCTCAGGTGATCCACCTGCCTTGGCCTCCCAGAGTGCTGGGATTACAGGCGTGACACCACGCCCAGCCTAGAATCCAAATTTCTTAATGCTTTGCTGTGTGGCTCTGTCCCACCTAATGATAATATGACTTCAGTAGGAGCCATCTTCTCCAATCTAGTAGCTGACCCTTGATTTTTGCTGAGTTCATTCCTTGTCCTCTGTCTTATCACCCCAAATCCCTTCCATGTAAGCCTAATTTTTTATGAGGCCTGCTTATAATGTGTTCTTAAGAAATATTTGATGACTACTGATGAAAATGGACTACTGAACACAAAGATAATGGTTTTGTAAAGTGCAATCACTGTTGTATATCCTTTTTCATTTCAGCAAGGAGCCAGGAAACTGGACACTTCAGGAGGCCTATGGTTTTAGAAAAATCTCTTTTCTTCTGTTTTCTTATTTATAAAATGTACTGATAAAGAATTACTACGGTCTATAACGATTCACCTTGTAAAAAGCAAATACTTCAGAACTATTTATTTTGTTCAAAAGACAAGATAATATTCTTTTTCCTTAGTTTCAGAACAAGCTTCCTGGAACCCATGACCCATGAAGTCTTGTCAACATTCATACTGTCTGAGGGTAGCAGCTCAAAAGTAGAAGAAGTAGGTGAGGTTTTCTGTTCAGTCTGATATCTCTGACCTATTAGGTCAGCCATTTGTTCATGTTTTGTGTTACCACTTGAAGATAGTGTTTCTTATCCGCAAGTATTGGGAGTTCAACTTTGAGGGGAATCTGGACTGAACTTCAGGTTAGTTCCAGTTCAGCTCATATGCTCTTTTAGTCAAAACCTGTGATGGCGATGTGCACCCCGTTGCTCTGGGGCAAGCTCTGTCAGACATGTTAAATACAAACCATTTACTATGGGATTTGGAGTCCAAGCTTGCTGTGAAAAAGTCCTGTGTAGGTTTGGGTGAGGAAAGCCATGTGTTTATGTCTCTGTCAGTGGTATCACAGCGAATCCTTGTGGTCTGATGTGCTGAGCAATGTTTATCTCACAAAAATCAGCAGGATTGTGCTTCTTCACATCTTCTGAAATAAAATTAGGAAATAATTTCTCTTTTCCTAATGGTGAATTTGGCCTTCTCTTCAAAGAAGGCCTTTGATGTTTGGGGCAGGATTATTGGGCAGTAAGAGGAAATCCAAGCAGAAAGACACAGTTAATGTAATTCAGTTGCCAGAGAAAATGTGGAGGAAAGTCTCAACCCGTTCTCCTGGTTAGCAATAGGAAAGAGCATAATATGGGTAGGGTGGGTAGGGCTGGAGAAAAGTTATTGGAAGCTGAGCAAAGGAATGTTTATTCTTCTCCACAGTGAGTTTGGACAGTGTTAGACAAGAGGAAGGTGATGAAGTATGTGGATGTTGGCGCCTTCATCCTTTGAACAAGCTTTTATTAAGTGTTTGCTGTGTGCCTGGCGTCAGGCGTGGGTGGGCAGGAATTAGTACCAGAGCCGATGCCGTCCAGAATCCTACTGCTGACAGGAAGGGAAACACAGAGCACTGCAAGGCAAACTCTAGGGTTGAAGTACTTGGAATGGGTCCATTAAGAAAGACTTCTTGGCCTGGCGAGGTTGCTCATGCCTGTAATCACAACGCTTTCGGAGGCCAAAGTAGGAAGATCACCTGAACCCAGGTGTTCCAGGCCAGCCTGGGCAATATGGCAAAACTCTGTCTCTACAAAAAAAAAAAAACCCAAAAATTAGCCGGGCATGGTGGCATGTGCCTGTAATCCTAGCTACTTGGGAGACTGAGGCAGGAGGATCACTTGAGCTCAGGAGGTTGAGATTGCAGTGAGCTGAGATGGCGCCACTGCACCCCAGTCTGAGTGACAGGGTGTGACCCTATCTCAAAAAAAAAAAAAAAGAAAAGAAACAAAAGAAAAAAAGATTGGATAACATTGAAAGGTCAAATTGTGCCAAAAAAAAAAGAAAGAAGAAAGACTTCTTGAGAGAGAGGAGTTGCTGCATTCTCAGGCAAAGTCTTATAAGCAGAGATGGGACCAGCAGTATGAAAATGTCCTTTTATCTCTCCCTGTATGTGTTGTTCATTATGTTCTTCCTTAAAACTCCTTTTTTTCTCAGTGAATGGTTGGTCTCAGTATGCTGGAGACTCAACATTTCACATTCAGAATAGTTGTTTTTAAAATACTTTTTGGAAAGTTAAAACGTGGTATCTGCATTAACTGTGTAAGCTCAGAAATCTGGGTCTTAAGTGCCTAAAACCAGTTATTGAGTAGCTTCCTGGGAGAAAAGGAGAAATGCATGATTTTTAAAAAAATTTCATCTGTGTGAGATTTTAGCCGAGAATCCTAGAAATACATGCCTGAATTCAACTTTTTACCTTTCAATTCCATTTGCCATTTGTTTGACCGTCTGTGGCTCTGAAAGCGTTCCCAGAGTACCAAGTGAGGGGACATTTATTTTAAGGACATGAAAGTTGCCGGGCTCTCAGGTTGCTCAGAAACCTCCTAGACTGTTGAGAGGAAAATAGCACACAGGATGGGAGCTTCGGTGAGGCAAGCGGAGCCCGTGGAACTGGCTGGCCGTGGGGGCCTTGGAGCCCTCTTCCTTCCCCCACTAAGTCCACGGGACTTTGGAAGAGAGCCCTCCCCCACCTTCCCTTGCTCTGCCAATATTTTTCCAGATTGCTCCCTGCCAAGTGCCTTTACTAGTCTGAGCTTACCTACTAGTACAATCCTAGCAGCTTTATTAGGTGTGGGTCATAGTTAATTGGAGAGGAAAATTGGGAGCTTCTGGGTTTATTAGTTTTTCTATGAAAGCAGAGGCTGCTCTTAAAGATTTCAGAAATCATCTTCCCCACCTGTCTTTCTGTTTTCAGTCTTAGGACTATCATTCCACAGTGGTGTTAGGATAGCTCTTCCTTCTTACATAGCTGTGCCGAAGTGAGAGAGACTTCATAATGCAGTTAGCACAGTGCCCTCTTTTGCAAATGACACCACATAAAGTCATGGAAATTCACAGCTGTTTACCTCTGTCATTATGAATGGATGTTTTGTACTGAACAAGTTATATAACAAGTTACATACAGCGGACTGTGTTATAGCCAAGAGTTAGAGTCTAATGGATCATCGAATGTACAGGCCTCTGAAATAATCACCTGCAATTCTGCCTTGAGAGTTCTGGTGGTCTGCCATCTGTGAAGGCCCCATAGTCAGGTGCTTTTCATTCTATAGGCTTCTGTTGCAGAGCTGGAGGCTGGGGAGTTAGGCCTGGCTTTGCCTGTCTGGACTGTGGCAGCTTGCCAGAAAGTTTCACTGGGTGGTCTTCAACAATGGGAGAAGGCGGGTGGGGGAGCTCTGCTCTCGTCCCCAAAGAGGAACAACAAGGTGGCTTTCTATAGGTGGGTTTCACATTGGCAACCAATCCCTTTGTCACTGACACACCATACAGGTCTTGAGTGTGGGTGAAAAGAATTGAACAGGTTGCCTGAAGGTGGTACTGTGATGGGGTTAATTTGTGTTCTCTTGATTTTACAAATGAAGCCTTGTGTTTATGTGGCAAGCCTCCCTCCCAAGAGAAGGAGCACACACAAGCAGCAGGTACTCCTCATCGTGTGAGGGGAGAATTATTCTCACTTGTCATGGGAGACGCACACCTCCCAGTGCAGCCTTTCGCCCCATCGCTTAGACAATCAGCCGTGGACCTGGGGCGCAAGCTGAGGTCGGCTAGTCTCCGTGCCAAAGAGGCAGAGCTGCCTGCCTGTGCTGCCCTTCCAGCAATGGAGAGAATGATAACTGCCATTTAGTGAGCACCTACTCTGTGCCAGTCTTTGTGTTAAAGCACCACGAGCATTATCCGTGCAATCCCCCAGCAGTCCTGTGAAAATGGGCATTATTACCCTATTCTGCAGACGAGGAAGCTGAAGCTTAAATAACTGTAGTGACTTGTTCTGGTCTCACAGCTGATCCATGGCAGAGCCAAGATTTCATTGCAGGTCTGCTGAGTCCAAAACTTGAGTTTTTCAAGAAAAAGAAGTGAAGCAAGCTTTCTCTCAAAGCAGAGCTCTTCTAGCTTGGGAAAACTGTTTCTTTTGCTACTAAGTGTAAAGGGGAGGTGAAGGTCTTTATGAGACTTGCCATTAAGAGACTTAAGTTTAAAACTGGGACTACAGCTAGGAGATTTTGAATGGCTCAGTAGCAGCCCCATGAGAGAAGCCAGGCTTTGTGGCTCGGCCAGTGTCACACTTTGCAGCCAGCGGCTTTGTGGCATAGCTGGTGTCAGACTTCGCAGCTAGTGGCTTTGTGCCACAGCTGCAAACTTTACAGGCAGTGGTGAAAGCCACCTTCACCTTAGGTTTCATCTTAGAATATGTCTGTTGATTATTTTTTTCCCCCTTCCCCTGGAACGTTGTCTGAATTGGCTGTCCTGAGTCTGTGCTTCCACTGTACCTGCCAGGTGAATCCTTTTGCTCCTAGGATCTCTGCAAGTCTGATCAAGCAGGTCCTCCATGCTCTTGGTGGGGCGAGGGGGAGAAGATATTTGGCCCAGTAGATACTTTTTACTGGTCAGGAGAAGTGGTGGCTTGTACAGAAAATACCCTGGGGAAGGAAGTCGCAGCTTTGACAGACAGGTAACTGACAGAAGATGCTACCTTCCAGGCAAATACTCAAAGAGCAGCCACCAGAAAGAATTCGACAGGCAGTTACCTGCAGAACAACAAAGCAGACCTTTCTACTGGCTTAGGAGAGTGAATGGCAATTTGGTTGCAGAGGACATGTAGTTAGTTACTCTTGTTCCTTGTTTTTCTGTGACAAACATGGAAAACTTGAAGCCGAGGTGTTCTGGGTTTGGGGGCACACAGGGCACCTGGGCTTAAGGGATAATTATGTGACCAGCTACTTGGGTAATGGAGAGGAAGTCATGGAAACTCAGTGTGCCTTTATTTCCCTGTCTTTATACGCTGCCTCCTCAGAACATTATGAAGAAGCAGTGAAAGGTGAGAAGTTTTCCCTCTAATGTGAGAAGTGCCTTCTCACCCTCAGAAGCCCAAGGCCGTTGGCCTCTGTGCTTACCCAAGATGAGTTAGGAGACGAGAAATTCTAGGGAACTGGCCAGAGGTTAGAGTCTGGGCACAAGGGATTCATCTGCTTCTGTGGTTCCTTTTTTATTTTCTCAGGGCAGAAGCCTGGATTGGTGGCATTTTGGTCGTATTGTTAGAGACACTCCTGGATCCGTCCAGACAAGCTGCCTTTCCCGGCCTCGTGGGACCAGGCAATGAAGGGTCTCAGGTCCAGGAGGAATTGAGAGAGGAAAAGAACTCATGGCCAAATAATTCTGGTTAGCATTCTTTTTTGAGAGAGGAAGGAACAGAGGCATCTGTGGAGTTTCTGGAGCTCCCATCTGAGAGGACAGAAGTCAGGAATGAATCTTATTAGAAGAAGGGTGAAGTGCTGGGAAAGACGGCTGTGTTGCAGGAAGGAGCCTTATTTCTGGAGTCACTTCCAGGTTTGAGATTGTGCAGCATCCTGGTTGAGGGGAAGCTTTGGAACCAGACAAGCCAGTGCTTCAGTTCTAGCTTTGCCAGTTGTTAGGTGTGTGACCCTGGGCAAATTACATAGACTCCGAGAACCAGTTTCTTAGGATTATTGC